AAAAAAAAAAAAAAAAAGAACTAAATGCTCTTGAGGGATCCTGCTGGGAAGTCCAGGCAGACATACTGAGCCCTGTATTACTTACCCGTTGTTGTCAGCAACATGTCTTCCCCCAATCGTGAGGCTGTCTTCCCAGAGCCTGAGCCTGAGCCTGAGTCTTCAAACTGCAAGAAAAAAAAGAAGAAAAGAAAGCGGCTACAGCAAGAGGCCAGCATCCAAGCCCTCACTAGGGCTGGCCATGGGGCCCTGCAGGCCGGCCGGAACCATGAGGCCTTAAGCAGCTTCCAGAAGGCCTTCCTATTGGCCTCTAAGGCCCCAAGAACCAAGGACATCTCTGTGCTTCAAGCCTGTGCCTTCAACCTGGGGGCTGCTTATGTGGAGACTGGGGACCCAGCCAGAGGCCTAGAACTGCTGCTGCAAGCCCAGCCTGCACAAAATCCACAGGGCAGATGTCATGGGGACCAGTGTTTTAATGTAGCTTTAGCCTATCATGCCCTTGGTGACCTGCCCCAAGCTTTGAACTGGTACCACAGGGCCCTGGGCCATTACCAGCCACAAGGTAACCAGGGGGAAACCCAGGCAAAAATGGGAGCCTGTTACCAGGCCCTGGGACAGCCTGAGCAAGCAGTCCACTGCCTGCAGGAAGCAAGCCAGGCCTATGCCCTAGCAGGCCAGACCCAGGCCGCAGCCCTGGCACTGGGGGCTGCAGCTGGGTGTATGTTGAAAAGTGGGCAGCATGGGGTGGGTGAGGTGGTACAGGTGCTGGAGGAGAGCCGGAAACTTGCCGAGAGGAGCACCAAGACAGGATTGCTGGGTGAGTCCTTGGGCTGAGAGGACGTGGGATCTGGGGAAACAGTAGTCCCGGTGATATACTGAGGGTTGGGGAAGAAGCTGAGGGACCCAGGAGAGGGGGAGCCTGGGGGGGGTGCTGTACCTGTACACCCTTAGGTATGACTGAATTGGCTACCAGTGACCTTGGCTGTGCCCTTTAGGGCCACTCTACAATGACCTAGGCCTGGGCTATGCCCAGCTCCAGCTGTTCCCTCTGGCACTAGAGGCCTTCCTGCAGGCCCTACCCCTGTGCCAGGAGCCAGGAGAACAGGCTACAGTGCTGAGAAACCTTGGGATGGCTCACAATGCCCTTGGCAACTATGAGGAAGCCCGGGATTTTCACCATAAGGCTGCCAACCTGCATGGTAAGTGCCAGGGGTTGGAGAATAGAACTGGAACCAAGGAATTACCAGGAGGTTACTGTCAGTGCTCCAGGACAATAAAGATGGATGGACCTTTGGGCTGAGTTATTGGACTTGGAAGGCCAGAGCCAGTGGGTTAGGGACTGGGAGTAGAGGAGATAGACTAGCCAGACAAATGGAGGTCCATGGGCTGGGGGGGGGGAGAGGGGTATGAAGGAGGTGGGGGGAAGCTGGGAACTGGAGGTTAGGAGATCTGGAGAAGAACAAGCCCTTCCTCCCACTATTGTTGACTAGCAGCTAATCTGCAGGGTAGTGGCTCACAGTTCCAATCCTAGCTATGCTGGAAGCTGAGAACTGAGGATTGTTAAAAGCCATCCCAGGCAGAAAAGGCTAAGAGCTTCTTATCTCCAATTAACCAGCAAAGTCCTGGAAGTGGAGTTGTGGTTTAAGTAGCAGAACACAAGACAAAAGCTAAAGGCTATTGCCCAGGTCCCAAGTTCAAGCCCTAAAAAAGAAAGAAGGGGCTGGGAAGGTGGCTCAATGGTAGAGCACTTGCCTTGCATGCCTGAGGCCCTGGGTTCGATTCCTCAGCACCACATAAGCAAAAAAGAAAAAAAGCCAGAAGTGGTGCTGTGGCTCAAGTGGTA